AAACCAATTAAAATACCCCTAGGCCAGTCCTGCCTGCTGAAACAGCCAAGTCTTGAGGGCGCGGCGGAAGGAGGGGAGATCCGGAATCACCCGGATCTCTGGGGGCAGCTCGTTCCAGAGGGTGGGCGCTCCGACAGAGAAGGCTCTCCCCCTGGGGGTCGCCAACCGACACTGTCTGGTTGGCGGCACCCTGAGGAGGACCTCTCTGTGGGAGCGTATCGGCCGGTGGGAGGTAATCTGTGGCAGAAGGCGGTCTCGGAGGTAACCAGGTCCGATGCCATGGCGCGCTTTAAAGGTGATAATCAGCACCTTGAAGCGCACTCGGAAGGCCACAGGCAGCCAGTGCAGCTCGCGCAGCAGCAGCGTTACCTGGGAGCGACGAGTCACTCCCATCACCGCCCGCGCGGCCGCATTCTGGACTAACTGGAGCCTCCGAGTGCTCCTCAAGGGGAGCCCCATGTAGAGAGCATTACAGTAGTCAGGCGGGAGGTAACAAGAGCATGGGTGACTGTGCGCAAAGCATCCCGGTCCAGAAAAGGCCGCAACTGGCGCACCAGGCGTACCCGGTAAAACGCCCCCCTGGCCACAGCCGTCAACTGGTCTTCCAGTGTCAGCCGTGGATCCAGGAGGACCTAGAAAGCTTCAATTTTTTTGCCCGTGGTGGACCTTTATAGTTATTCCAATTCTGCTTCTGTGAATACTTTATTTCACATTTTAAATCAACATTCATCTGCTAGCCTCTGTTTGGTTATTTCTGATTCAGGATGTTTTTCTTTCCAGAACTAGTACTGTACATTCTTTTCAGATATCCTCTTCTTATTGAATTTTATTTATAATAACAGATCACTATTTCAATCTGGGTATATTTGCGATGGGTAAATAATTTTTCTTCCAATAGTCCTGCAACTGCTGGCTCTGATTCCTTAGCCAACATCTCTACCCCATTTTTCACCAGATGTCCATGAACTTCAACATCTAGCACAGTCCTTGGTGACCAAGGTGACACCCAATCCAGTATGGTTCCTGTAAATTACATCTCACCATATGGCTAATGGGAGAGGCACTCATTAGTATTATAAGATTTTTTTTAATCCCACTATTTTTTTAATTTGATCAGTGCAAGACAGCATTGAAAATGATGATTCCCCCCTTCCCCCGCAGCATTCATTTTGTCAAGGAGTATGATTAGCATGATCATCTGCACAATCATACTGTTTCCTTATACTTTCATTACAGGTATGGCAGTCTTTCATTTATGACCATAATGGAATCTGCTACATGACTATCTCATTTAACGGTCCCCCTCCCTACTCTCCCCATTGCAGTCATTAAGTAGAGAATGGAGTACCTCAAAGGGTGGGGGAGGCCTGGGGAGGCCCAGAAGTGGACGTTATTTTGGGAGCAGCCACAATTTATGGGCTGAGCCACATGGCTTAGGAATGCCAAGGGATGAAGTGGCCTGCTCACCTTTTCCAACATGATCTCCACAGCTTTAGAGATCTATAGAAGGTAAGTGAGTGGTCAGGGATGGGGTAGGGAAGAGGGAGGAGGGGCTGGGATCCAGCAGGGTGAGAAGCAGGTCCAAGGCCTGCAGAGTGCTACATTTACGGTCACTGAGTTAGGATTATGGTCACATGACATCTCGCTTAACAACTATTTCATTCAACAACCAAGTTTCCCATCCTAATTATGGTCATAAGCCAAGGACTACCTATATAAAACAGAAAATACCTTATCTGTATTATGATTGGAATTATAAATGGATCCTCTTAGCAATGGCCTACCTTTCCCTCATCCTCTTGCTCTGCTTTTTCCCAGGCTCAGCAACAAAATTTCAAATAAAACCTCATATACCATAACTCTCAATCAATTCTTAGTGTCTCTTTTCCTCTTTTTGGAGGAGAAAAAATATATAGTAGGCATGACTGTGACAAAAGCTGGTACCCTCAACAGACAGTTACACAGTTTTTTTTTTTAACTCACTTGGTGTGAAAAGGCCAGCCCCATCATAGGGCCCTTCAAGGTATCCATCACCACAGGAGGAGGGGTATGAAAATGTGCTTTAGTGACAGTAAATACACACTATACAAAGACAGGAACACACAAAAGAAAACACACAAGGAAGAGAAAGAAAAGAACTTCAGAAAGAAAAATGGAAAAGAGTTTGAGGAATTGAATGTTATGTCCAGACAGATATTGGAAATGTTCATATACAAAAGTGCAAGGCACATCATGATTTGCAAGAGGTTTAGCATTTCACTGTTGTATTTTCCAAATTAATCTCTTTTTTAATTCTATGTTGCATCCGAGAATTCAGTTTAGATCAGGAAAAAGATTTTGCTGCAAATATATGGGCCTTCTAAGGATTAGGTCAAATGGTTATTGGTAACAGCAGAGAGGAGGAAAGATCAATTCAGTCAAAACTATCAAATATTCCAGTGAGCACAACCACCTCTATCTGCACTAGCTTAAAAGAATGCAGTTCCAATGAAGACAGGAGACAGGCATATGCAGAGGGGATGGAATGGGGAAAGAACGAATTGTGCCACTGAAATCACGATACAAACCCTTATATATTTGCATCCAATATAAACAGATAATGGGTGGGGTTTCTGGTTTTCCATTTAAAGTGGACATATAAGACGATAGAGCAAAGTTTTTGATCACAAATTTTATAACTTTTATAATTATAGCCAGAAGAGATGTCTTCTCATATTAAACATAATTAAGACAATGGCAACACTAGATTCAGAACATCTTAAGAAGTAATTCTTGTCAAATGTTGATGGTCAATTAATTATTCAAGAAATTGTCTACGATACAGAATTTACAGAATGCTCTAAATCAGGTATGATTTAACATTGTATAATAAGCTGGGGAAATGGGGATAAAGAAATCAGCTGTAACTCATACTCAGCAGAATATTTTCCCCCTAAAATGACTATATACCGTAATCAATTACATGCAACCTAACTTTCTCCCAACAACAACCACCAACACTGCCATTAAAGAAGAACTGAAACCTATTTCCATGCCAGTTTTAAAACTAAGCCTTCTGTCTTGATTTTTAATCCAAATGTTTTGCAGGAGTATCTGCCAAATTATGTATAGAATTTTTAAAAATCTGAAAATTACAGATGGATAAAAAGATTAGACTGTATATGTTATCATCAATAGATTGTCATCAAGCTTGAACTGGACCTAATTTTTTCATACACCTATACTCTATTCTTATTAATTAAAAATACAACCTCTTGGTATATATGCATAAGGAAGTGTATTCTGACCAATGTCTGTCAGTGTTTAGTTGTCATGCTCTTCATTTTGTATATATTTAGCAATTTTTTTTGCTACCAGCTAGTCATACTAGGAAACGTCTAAATTGATTTGGAAAAACAACTTACCTGGGATGGGGGAGAAGTAGAGAAAGAGGTTGTGCATACTTCTTGAGAATCTTCTACTGATGGATATGCCACTGCATTTTCTTCACCTGTTCTGTAACAATCAAAAGATACATTTTTAAAAATGGAAATGTTTAATAATAGCTAAGCAAAGGCTCTACGGATAAAAAACACTACAGACAGGAACTAGAAGATTTGGGTGGAGTTGAAAGGAGAATTATGACAGAGCTCACTCTTTCCTTAAAAGAGCGGAACTGGTAGGGTGGATCTAATAATTTTGAATTTTATGTGTTCATAAATTTTACCTGGAAAAGAATGAAATATTTTCTTAGTTTTGTCTTTTGTTTTTTAAAAGGAAGGTTTTACTGATAAATTCATTTCAATGCTATTAGTTGTAGAGATGTACAACTAATGTAGTGTCAGAGCTTCACAAAACGCATTTCTAAACACTGCTGTTCTGGCCAATGAAGAAAATATTAACCCAGGAAAGGGTTTTTTTTAAAAAAATTGGTCATCTATTAAAATATGTTTGAATTATGCATGCTTTACTTATACTATCATAAAATCACGCAAACAGCAATTTGTAAAACAAGTGCCAAGTTGTTTGTCAAAAAAGAAATTATTTTCATTCTGCACTTTATTCTGGAAAAATAATTACAATCCCAAGATTTCTCATTGACTAATGTGATATCTGGAATGGATGTGTCTTAAAAAATTTCTCATTCTATCCATTCAATTCTAATAGTGTGAGGAATTCAGGCTTTTTCTGCATACTACACTTCAATTAAAGGGGTGAGCAAGACTCAACATAATTTTCTCTACCCGGCAATGTAAGCTGTAAAGGCTCTATACCTGGGATAATTGCCTCCACTATTCATGATTCCTCTTTCCTCACCTGTAATTGCAGGGATGCATGGGTGAGGAGCTGGGGTAGGGACGGTCCACAAAGTGATCAATGATAATCCCCATGATAGGTGGGGTCCTCTCAAACTGCCTGCAAGGCAATAAGTAATAAGCAAATTGTATTATTCATAGGACTGTTCTTTTTATTTTACAACTTGTTCTGACAGCCGTACTGCTCTTTTGGGTAAATTTATGGGGAGCAGAGCATCACCACAATTCAACCCTGCAACTCCACACATAAATAAGGAACTTGCTCAAAACTTAAAACTACCAATATCAATCTGCCAAATCCAAGTAACTCAGATTGTCAGGCTTAAAGAAGAATATCCTAGAAGAGATTATTTAGTTTGACTAAGAAGTCCTCACCTG